AAGTTCAGATTAAAAAGTTCAAAATTTAGATAGGAATTTTTCTAAATTCTGCATAAAGTTTGAAAGTTTGACTTATGTGGTTTTTATTAAAGCAAAAACAGTATTTTTATAAAAAATAACAAAAAAAAAATTTACTTGAAAAACATTTTTGACAAAAATGTTTAAAAAATGCATTACTTTAGGATTTGTCTGTATTAATATATATAATTATAATTATAATTATAGATCTTGGCCTGCAGATGCGCAATAAGATTTGATTGTTGAAGCTGGGATTTCATTTTTTTTCTTTTTTGAAAAAATCGACACCATGCTACTTCTCCCTTCACCCAGAAAGGGATACAGATAAATTTTGCCCTCGGATCGCCAGCATATGGAATACTTTTGTAAGGTTGTTGAAGAGTGTTGCCACCTGTTTGAAAAGCTAAGTTAGGAACTTGGCTCAAACTGTGCCAATTTTGGTCAAATTTTACTTTAAATGGTACTTAATTTTTCGATTTGGCACAAAGTGCCAAAATGGCACTTTTGAAAAATAGTAATTGTTCAATACATTTTTGTTAAATACTTTGCTTTTTCTTCTTTTTCTCATATCTATATTTTCTAATATCTATAGTGTATACAACTGGTTATCTTATTTTGGAATTGGACTTTTATTTTAGGAATGTGTTTCTAATTTTAATACTGAATGGGAAGATTTAAAAAGAATGGCGCCTTTTTTATCCTCAGTACGGCACTTCATAGTTAAGGATAGTTGGCAGCCCTGCATGTGGGGGTGCGCTAGAACTAAACATATCGAGCTAAAAGGAGAAAATGCTGACAAATTAAACTCTTCTTAACGAAAAAAAAATTATATTCAAAAAGACACTGTGAAGTGAGCGAGAATTTTTATTTTTTTTTGTATAAATTTAAATACTTAATTCTTATTATTATACATACAAATAGTATTTATATTTAACTGTATTGTATTTATATAAAAACTGCTGTATAAAAATTAAAAAAAAATAACATCGTTTTTGTTGTGCCTTACTATTAAGTCCGCGACTTTTATTACTTCAATAAGTAAATAGAATTACTAAAGCACAAGTTCCAAACAAATTGGTTTAAGGAAGTAATTCAAGATATTTTAAGTCCAAATTCGAGCGCTTCTAGTCGAGCTAAAGCTACAAAACTCGAGGTTTATTGCATTTTTAAATTAGCCATTTGTTTTATATATCGCCAATTAATGAGTTTGGCTGATGTATTCCGAAGCGCATATGTAGAAAAGTATGCAATATATGTATACATTACACATATATAGTATATGCATGTACATATGTATACACTTATTTGTATATATGTATGTATGTACGTATGTGTAATTATTGGACTTACTTTCAATTAGTTGCACAACCATCAAATACGAAATGCTGACAGAAATGTAGGGAAACACATTAAGCATAAATTTTTTTTACGTGAAAAACATACATACATAAATACCATATGTGTATATATCACTACACAATAATGAAACGGTTTTAAACTTTTTTATGTGCATATGTATGAGAAATTACAGTGGTGCATAAAAATCTTGCATACACAATGATTTCATATACAGGTACCGCCATAAGTCAGTTATACTATATGCACATATGTACATATGTATGTACAAACGCACGCTGACATATTTTGTCTGCAATTTCGTACAGGTGCTAAAAAGAAAGTTGAGTTCGGTTTTCTTTAAATTACTTTCGATTTTGGCGCGCATGCGCATTAAAGCACTTTGCGGTCAGCAAACAAAAGGAAATGGAACCATTTTCAAGGCAATGCAGCCAAAGAAAGGGCAAAGTACAGAGTAAGTAACTGCATATTTATGTAAATAAAACAAAGAAAAAAATGCATAGTATTTAGGCTCAAAGATATAGATTTTTTTTTGTTTTTCAGGCCTCTCTTTCAGTGCGACAATACTAATAACTTTTTAGCGACAAGCTAGTGAGCTTTAGGAGCTTCTGTGAACACAAAGAAGACACAAAGAAGATACAAAAAATGCCAGAAGACTATATTAAGAAAAGAAAAAAAAAACGCATAGAAATTCTACCGCAACTCTTATTAAGATGAATATAGAACGTAAAACTTCTTTTAGACACTCATCTTTAAGGACTTCCACCGTAATCCGAGACAGAATAGATGGCATAAGAGGTCGTTATTGAATCGTTATTAACATGTTGTTATATTTGTATCAGACGCATGAAGAAGAGCAAATCACACGCGAACGAACTATCCAAATAAAAATCTACAATTTCCAAAGAGAAAGGGAAGACATAATACTTATGGCTATTGTTGACATAACTCTATGACATCATTACATTACCGCGAATAATAATGTATTGTATTATCAAACATCAAACATCATCATCACACATCCCATTCGTAGTCTTAAAGCGGCAAAAACGTTTATGCAAACATTTAGACGAATTTATATTATGCGCACAAATATTGTTGTTAATCAGTCATTTAAGCGCGAGATTTGTTGTTAATTGAAATGTTAAACACACCTACAAAAGAAAACCGATAACTATGTATCTCCGAAACATAATGGCAAGATGGAAGTGTAAAGGCAAGGTAAAGAAAAAATGCCAATGAAAGGAAAGAAGGGGCTGTATTACATAGCAATGAAAGTAAAAGTTTTGGCACTTTAACTGATGCAACAACAAAGGCAATAAATTTGTCGTTAACTGAGATTGTTTAATGAGCGCAGCAGGCGCAATCAGAGTTACCAGATGTGAAAAGCAGCATGGAAATTGAAAAAAAAACTTAGAGGGTAAAATTTCTCAAATTTCGTTGATATAAATAAATTGAGGAGCACTACAAAATATTGGATAGAAATGGAATGCACCTGAGCAGCTATTGCCCATTATACGTACTTTATTACTTATTTAGAGGATAAGGATATATATGTAGAGGTGGGGTAGGAATTCATTGCTCGTCCATTCTTATTTAATACTCCGAGCCAAAATTGTACCATCTAATTCTGGAGACGGCTGAGCAGCGACAGAGAACATGTTCTTTACCATCCTCATCTACCAAACAAGATGTACCCAATGGATCGTCGATGATACCCCGTAATCAGTCCTATCAGGGCTCGTAGAGCACTGCTTCTAAATATGAGAAGGAATTTTGTTAGCACCCTAGGACGCCTTTTCAGGATACATGATGAGTTGATTTTTTTTAATATTCTCAACGTTTTTCAAGTTAAGTTTTTATTTGTTATTTTTCTATAAAGCATTGTCCAACCTCAAAACCAGTCACCAAAAAAAATTCTCATAAATCGACGGGATTTTTTAACCGGTTGAAACATGCACTTCATTAGACGAAAATTATACGGGAAGAACATTATGAATATTTCAAAAATCAACACGTGAACGCTTGCTTCAGTCAGGTGTCAATACTACGCCAACTGCCCTGATGAGTTTTCTTAATGGAATTTTTAATGTAGCCGATTGTCCCCGCTATGTTTAACACTAAAATTGGCAACGGTCCGATAATGATAATTGAAAGGGCAAGAAAATTTATTGAAATTTTTCTATAGCAAACGAAATAAATTCAGTCAAAAACATTCCGTTACCGAAAGTTATCAATTAACCGAAATTCATCGAATCAGCGAAGTTTATAGCTATCTAAATTTATCGTTCCATCCTTATTGGCTTATCACAACGTATTCAATTATTCCAAATTCAAATTGAACAATGTTTATTGAGTTGTCGAATTTTGTAGACACAGAAACTTTGTTGTCGAAATTTTAAGATAATTTCGAGCTATACAAATTTATGGGATTATCGAAATTTGTCAAGTTAATTTAATTTATCAAGCTATCGATATTCATTAAATTATTAATATTCATAGAGTTAACAATGATTATAGAGTTATCGTAATGTATCTCGTTCTTTCAACTTATCGAATTATCATTATTTATAGATCCACTAAAATTTGCCGAATATCGAATCGAAGTTTTTTGATTTTCAAAATACATCGAGTTATCGAAATTTCAAGGTGATATAAGTTTATCGAGTTATCAGTGCTTATCGAATTTTATCGTGTTATCAGAGTGTAACGAGTTGTCGAAATTTGTCGATAGATTTCGATAAATATAAGCTATCATAATTAACCGAGTTATCGAAATTTATAGAGATCCAGAGTTATCGTAAAGCATCGAGTTTTTTCAACTTATCGAGTTATCGGTATTTATTGCTTTAAAAAAATGTATAGATTTATCGAATCAAAGTTTTTTTTTTGAATTTTCAAAAAATATCAAGTTATCGAAATTTTAAGGTTATGTAAGTTTACCGAGTTATCAGTGCTTACCGAATTTATCGTGTTATCAAAATTTATAGCGGTATCCAAAGTTTATCGAGCTATCGATTTATATCGAGATATATACATTTTTCGAGTCATTTATCGAGCGCTCAAAATGCACTGTTATAGAGATTTATCGACACTAGTCGATTTATCAAATTTCATTGAGTTATCGCATTTTAATGTTTTTGAAATATCGCATTATCGATATGTATAAAATTATGGAAATTTAGAGACAAACTGTATCGGGTCAGTTCCGAGTCCTGCCAAAAAGCCATCAAAGATATATAAAAAAAATTTAGTCACGTTTTAGTTCCAAAGCAGTAGGGGACTAAGACTGCTAAATTAGAAAACCTCTCAAAAGCTCTTAAAAAGGTAGAAAAATGATCCAATTTCGGAGCAACTGGCACTCCTGGTACACTTAAATGGTTAAAGCTGTTTAGTGGTTTTTGTCAGTCACCTAAAATCATTTTTTTACAACAAAAAAGTGTAAAATTGAAAAAAAAAAACTACTCGTTATATCACCCTTACTACGTTTTTTTTTATGGTTTCGATTTAGAGAAAAGTGTGCCCATATTATTTACATATATCAATTAGTAAATAAATTCATTCCATTCAAATATACTTATATTATCTAACTAAAAATAAGTAAAAAATATGAATAATATACAAACCTGCATAATCCGCATGACAGCTTAGCAGTAGAAAAATTTGTAGCAGTAAAATGGCAAAAATGTTGTTGTTGTATTTTCGGCAAATAAACCACATTTTTTGTTTTATTAATTGAGGCTTTTCTGTTGTTGTTTGTTACAATTCGCTGGTGAGTGGTACTACGTCGTTTTTGGTTTACTTTATTTACACTTATTTTAATTGATTTTAATTAAAGAGGTTTTTGTTGCTTTTTTACTAATATTTTGTTCGTGCTGTTGTCACTTACGTCACTTCGACTTTTTGTTACTTTAGTCTCTTAGTTGGTTACATTAACTAAGAATAAGTAATTTTCTTGAACGGAGCTATGTACATAATATGTACTACATATGTATGTATATTAGGGCGGGTCAATATTTTTTTTGTTTTACTATGCGCGTATAGCAAAGGAGGGTTTTATGCAAATTTGTTGAAGAAACCATGGGTCTGAAATCAATTTGAAGTTTGCCAAATTGCGAAAGTGGGTTTCAAAGAAAATGTTAAAATTTTCTCTGTTACCTCCCTGGTGGAAGTTTCAAGAAATGGATGCCAAAAATACAAAAATTTATATTCTTATTTCTGGTTAAGAGATTGTAAATATATGGGCAGTTTAGTCTTAGTTTTCTTTCAATTTTAATTTCGATTGCAAATATTTTCAGCATCTTGCTTCATTCCAACAAGGCCAATAACTGTGCCGAATTCGGTAGAAATCGATAAAACGTTTATCGAGACACAGATTCACATACACCCATACATACATACACATCCATACCATTCATACATAAGCCAATTTTCCCAACGAAATCCATTATTGTCATAGATTTTTAGTATTGGGCGGACCTTGTGTCCTGAAAGCTCTATACGAATTATTTGAGTTGCAATTTTAAAATAACATAGCACTATGTTAAGCTGGAAATGAGTTTAGAGTTTAAGCGCCAAAGTCAAAAAGGTTTTAACAAAAGCAAATCTGCTAGCGAGGCTTATATCGAATATTCGAGTAGCTGAGGATATCAAGCAGGAGTCCAGAGAAGCAAATTGCTTTCTGACTGTGAACTTCTTAAAGCTGGGCTGGGAATTTGGGTGGTCAAAAACGGGCTGAGAGGTTTATACGAAGAACTTTCATTGAAGAGTGCCATGCCACTTTCAGATTAAGACGCATTGCCACGAGCAGTCACGCATCAGCATGCTTATAATAAAGAAGTTCTATGGAGACCGAACTGCAAGCAATTGTAAATTGGATAGAAGAAGCCTTCGCTCATAAAGGCTTCGTATTAGTTACATAAGTAACTAAGCCTAGATCGAGGAAACACATTTTAATGTTTGTGCTTTTTGGGGTAACTCCAAATTCCTTTAAGACACTACTCGGACGAACTTCCGACATGCTTACAGATTCCGTTCCGATTTTTAGAAATTTGCAGAGATCTCGGAAAAATATTATCGGAAAAGCGATTCTGTATTATTTTTTATTGAATATGGTTTGGTCAAAACAAAATAGGGAACATTGATCGTAATTTTAAAAATTAAAAATCGCCGCCATTTCAAAAGTCATTTTGTGTGAAAAATTATTAAAGCTGCGTTTCAGCAAATTCATTTAAGTGGAAAATAATTCGAATTTAATTTCTCATTTAATTCTCCATTCAAATTTTTCCGTTTGAATAAGTTCTTGATTTATGTAATTAAAAATATGGCAGCACCGTGCTAAAAGTGGTTGGGCGAGCAGGACTGGTATACAATGAAACAGCTTATACACAGTATTGGAGTTTGTGTATATTGATCAGCTGATTAAACGTATAATACCTCTGAGTGTGGCTATTCTGATTAAATTTTTATTTAAGTGAAGAGGTGACCTATGAAAATTAAAAAGAAATTAAATTTGATTAGTAAAACTAAAAATTTGAAAATTAAAATAATTTGCACTTAAATTTATTTGGTGAAACGCAGCCTAAAACGAGAAGGAAAACAGGTACACAGACAAATATGACCTATATAAATAAAAAGATTGTCTCTATTAAAAGTTTCTAGGTTAAACTGTTTGGCAGACGAACAAAGCGAAAAAACATTTATTGAGATTAGGTTTATGTGAAAATTTTAATCGGTTTTTTTTATAAGAATATCTTTTAAAAATCATAGCGAAGGGTTCGAGGACAGTTTAGTGCAGACCCCGTTTTTTATTCATTTTCTATTTATAAATTTTCAATAGATAACTTATCAAAATCGAAAGAATTCCTTCTAGATTTCATTGAAAAGATAATCCCACTAAAAAGGCTTTCTTCTTTCAAAACAAAAAAAGATAAGTTTTCGCCCTGTTTAGCTTGATTCATTACTTTTCCAAGAATATCTCATTTTTGAGATCAGAGCAAAAAATAGTGAACTACAACTTGCCGACCAATATTTGCAAAGTCCATAATTTCGATTTTTTTTTTTTACTTCAACTCAATTTCTGTCAGTTTAGTATGAAATTAGGCCGTGTGCAAAATGTGAGCCTAATCGAAGGCGGTCGCACAGAATCTTGTTACGTTTAATTTGGAACAGCCGTATGTTCAAATGTATGTATACATTAGACTGTCTTAAATAAAACGACAATTTTTATCCTTATTTTTATTATGTGTGAAAATTACGTTGCCAGTCACAAAAAAAAAAAACAAAATGGTGAAAATATTTTAGCAAAAATTAAAATTTTTTTTTGAAAAACACGGGTTTTGCTACTCTTTTACAAGAAATTAAATATAAAAATAAAAAACCTTGTTGACCATTAAATTTTAGGGTAATAATTTGTAAGTTTGAGTTAGCTAGGACCTCTGTTGATTTTTGGCAATTTTTTTTTGTCGACTGTGTTAGTCATTTTCTTCCACACGAAGTATGTTTGCGAAATTTGCTTATATGGAGAAAATGAGCGACAACTTAAAAAAAATAAAAAATAAAAATAGAAAAACTTCCAAAAATCAACGGTATGTCCTGCGAGTTTTTTTATTTATTATTATTTTTAAGCAAACAACAAAACCGTCTTCAATTCTCATATAAAAATTTAAGATTATCGTTAATTTCTTCATTATCTAATGATCCGATTTAAACCCAATTAATACGGGACTACCTGCGAGGTAAAAGCTTTCCTCTAAAAAAAGAATTTTAGAAATCGGTTAACGTGGTCCAAAGTTATGCGTACACAAAAAAAAAATATTCCGACGAATTGATAACCTTCTCCTTTTTGTGAAGTCGGTAAAAAAATAGCGGAAAAATTTTTTTTATTGAAAAATGAAGAAAGAGGGCAACAAGTTTGCCACAATAATTTTTTTGTCGTTTTATTTGGCAGAATCTTTATAAAAAATTTGCGAAAAATAAAATAATTAAAAAATAGCTGCCCGTACTGCAAAAAATCGCTGTACCTAAACTTTATTGATTGACTGTAATTTTTTTTTAAGTTCACGTATGTACATATTTTTGTGCTTTTTTATTTCTGTCTTCAAATTAATGTCAAATTAATACAATTGATTTTAACGCAGTTACTCTTCAAAAGAAAAACGTTCAAACATTTTTTGTTTTTTTGCTATAATCCGCATTTAAACATCGTAAAATGAGTGCAATGCCACACCGGTCAGTGATAAGAGACAATAATATCGCGCGCGCGCGCACACATCACCAACGTAACGTGAGCTCTGGTTTTCTAGTATTCGTACTGCACACAATAACGCGTTGCGCGCCAGTTAACTTGGTGACTCCTTTTGCCAGCCATGCCAATGACTTTTATGGCCAACGGAATGAGGTTAATTAAATTGAGAGCAGCAACAACTACATACATACATACATATAGCAATAAATAATTCGGTGAACTAAGTTGCACTGTCATTCACCATACACATACATACATACATATGTATATACATATACATATACTTAAATGTATTTGTTAGCTACTTAAGTCTAAAACAGACAATAACTGTGTTGACTGCAGCCTCGCTTGACTTTACTTGGCAGTGTTACACTTTTTAACTTCTCCATTTGCACATGACAACTTCAGCACTAAACTAAATACATACAAACAAATAAACATACGAATGAGATAATAACAGTAAGTAGATTATGTAACTCGTCTTTGCTGACACGTTATCACTGTTATAATTTTCCGGCGCGTAAACTTGATTTTGTTTTTTTTTTTTTTGGTTTTGTTTGTTGCTGGGTCAAGGTACGCTTATCGCGGCAGCAATTGCTTGCCCTAGGACTCGACATAAATATTTACATATTTGCATAACATTTAAGCGTGGAATTCTATGAAAGTATGTATGTATATACATATATGTATGAAAGTGCTTGTGTCTGCTATCTGTTTGTGCGCATGCGTAACGNTTTATAAATTCACCTTCACCGCACTGCGGATATGCACGTCATTCCCTTACACTTTTCGTTCACTTTTATTTTTACTTTCGCATTCACATTCGCTTTCGCGTTTATTTATGTACTTCTTTTGCAGCTCACACACAACCACTCTCGCTTTCGTATGACCGCTGTGTGCCTTCAGCGTTCAGCGTTTTTGCGACCGTCGCGTTTGCGCACTCAAAACAATCTGTTTGCTGTTGTCTAAATTTTGCTTTCGTTTGCCACCGCTTGCAATGCTCAATTTTGGATTGCAAGTTTTTCAATTTGTTTGTAAGTTTTCGTTTTTTTGTACGAAATTTTTGAAAAGTTAACAAACGCTTTTTAGTTGAGCTTAAAGCAGCACCACGTTCGACACGAATTTCAGGGGGTTGTCTCGAGTGGCATTCGCATTTGTAGCGCCCACTTAGCGCACGCACGGCATTGCAGTGCAAATAAATATAAAGAAAAAAAAAACGAAAAACTTAAGCAACGAACTTGATTTTGGGGAGGTGTTTGTGTGTGTGTACTTGAGCGTTGTATTGAAAATGTTAGATGGGTGTAAATGTTATTGAAAATATAATAACAACATTTATGCGAGTGTTTGACTTACAAATTATATTAATAAATTTTTTTATGCGTATACATGCGTAGCATATTTTATATTAAACAACAATCAGGCATTTAAATAGAGAATTTACTTTTATTGTAATTATAGAAGTATGCAATTAAGTTATTCGCCTATTGTTAAGATCCATTCGGTTTCTTTGTTGAACTTTTACTAGTATCGAGTTCCACACCGACAATAGGACCTTTGGCAAATGGTGCGAGCGCCTCTGTTTGAAGAAAATAGGAGCCTGATGCGCTGCAAATTCAAAAAAAAAAAAAACAGATCACTAGTTAATACTAATTTAAATATTTATGTACATAAATTAAATTTAAAAACATTTATTAACTGTTTTGGTTATCGATGAAATTAAAGTTATCGAAAGATGAGTTACTGATAAGGTCAAAGGCAGCGATTAATTTGCAGCTACTTAAAAGTTATTGATAGATTTATAGTTATATGTACATAAGTTATTGGTAACATAAAATGTACCGATAAGTTATCGATAATAAATTTTGCTATTAGGTAATTAACTACCTACAAAATTATGTACATCGATGAGTTATCAAAAATTATAGTTATCAAAAACTTATCGGTTCAGTTTTTGGCAGCGCTCAAATTATGGATATCGGTAAGTTATCGATATAATTTTTGTCAAATTATTGAAAACAGTTAGCGAGAGAATTTGGACCACCGGCAAGTACTTACTTATATAATTTTAATTATTGATTAGTTATTGACAGTTATGATGACTATTGATTAAATTAAAATTACCGAAAGATAAGTTACTGGTAATATGAAAGCTACCGCTAAATTGACAGTTTCATACAAGTTATCGATAATTTCACAATTATTGAAAAGTTATCGATGAAACCATATGTGGAAATACGTATACCAGTAAATTATCGACGAGTTAACGTTAAGATTATGTTCATTGACAAAATGTCAAAAATTATAATTTACAAAAAGTTATCGATAAATTTTTTTGTTATCGATAAAATTGTTGTTATGGATTATTTATAAATAGCTAGCTCACGTCCTTGCAATCACAACAGACGGCCAATTTATTCGCCACTCGACTCACACACC